ATCTATGTCAAATCCTTGAATCCCTCCCCAATACAGGCCAGCTGTATCGGAATGTGATAGAGTCTACGTCATCTGAAGAGAGTGGAGAACAGTCTGCATCATTGCCATCTTCGGAACTGCGTAGAATGCTTGGTGAGTCAAAAAATCACATTACCGGTGAATCATTAGAGAAAGATTTACTATCGAAGTCGATGGAGCCTAATGGGACATCTCCAGTTGACCATATACTGAAGGGCATTGCAGAGATAAGATCTAAGCAGGCAGTTTTTTCGGAGGATTTACCAAAATCAAATGAAACGCTTCAAAGTGACACCGTCGAGTCACAGCAGAATTCTGACGGCGGAACTCAACTCCGAGAAAAACCCCAAAATGAAACATGTCGTTCAGAAGATTTAATTCCCGATGCTACGTCACGCCTGTGCTCGCCTGCGACTTTTATGACGTCACTGACCAGAAGTCTTTCAACTGGTGTCAGCAATGACGCGTCTCCAAGCGAAGTATCGGCCCCGGGGTCAACCCTGCCAGAAGAGAGAATTATTATGTCCCCGTCTGCTCTGTTTCCCGAGGGAGAGCTCAGTTATTTTGAATCTTTGATAAGTGAACACGTCGAAGCTGATTTGAGTAATGGCGCGGTGGGTTCAGCCGAAATGCTGAACGAGACTTTTCGGTTCCCAGCTGTTAGTGGTATGGTCATTAAACGGGCTTTATGCGCCGGCGAGACGGACAGCTTGGCTTGCAATAATATGACCACCGATGGCTGTTATCTAAGCAATGAAAGCGATACAGAAGAAAGTAATCATTTAGTTGATTCAAGTGTCAAGAGGAATCGGTTTGAAGAAGAGGGCAAGATAGAAAATTCGGATGGAATTTTGGTTAGTGACGAGTCACCAGGCTTAAATTGTATCGCAAACGATATAGGCCCCAGGGAAAGCAGTTTGTCTAATGAGATCAGCGAAAACAACAATGAAGGCTTAGGTCGCCATAGCAACCGATTGCCAAGCACGGATATAGCAAATACAGTCTACTCCCACATCAAACGGCCATTCTGGAAACAAGACAGTGACGGCGAGTCCGTGCACAAGGCTGACACTCCAACGATCACTGCCCTGTGTGGCGAGGACGACGGTCACGCAAATGAGATTAGTGGTCAAGCTATTCAGGACCCGCAGGATAGCGAAGTGCTCCCAGAGCCAAGAATTAAAACCCAGCTAGCATCAGACCTGTCGAGAAACATCCAGGACGAAATGCTCAACATTATTCGAGAGCTCCGCCGCCTGTCAGCGGGCGAGGACTCCGTTGTTGACCCCGAGCAGGACGTTGAGACATCTGACCTGATTTATCCTCCACCACAGGACAGGTGGAACTGTGATCGCATCACCAAGAACGTATGTTACAAGACCAAAGGACGTGCTCAACATCTCAGGTCGGACGATTTTGACGAGCTGTCGCCAATTTCAGAAGTGAGCGGGGAGTCCAAAAACAACAGCCACTCCGCTCCAGGGGAATGTCAGGGCACTGACACCTCAAATCATGTCCCGGACCACACGGGTCTATATTTCCCATGGTGCAACCCTAGCGCCCATCAACCCGTTGATCAGATTAAAACATTGCCCATGAACTTTGACCTTAAACACTTTGCGATGGATTCATCTGTGTCTAGTTTGGACGAATATACGAACCAGATTAAGGCTTCCCCGAATAGCAATGATAAAACCCAAGTTCAAAAAGTTCCTCTACACGAACCAAATCAAAATGCTGGACAAGACGTGCCAGGTAAACAAACTGAATGTGAAGGTCTGTTTGAAATAAATAAAAGATCTACTAAGCCGCAGTCGATTAGTGGTAACGAAAATTCTCGTCTTAAAAGAGTTTCGTTCAACTTGGATGACCCAGTGTCTGATTTTGAATCGATTCATGGACCTAATCAGTCAGATGGTTATCATGACCCACTTCAGTTTGAGAAACATCCAGATATCAACAACAGGATTGACATCCCTGGTTTGAGGAGTGTTTTGAGAGTAAATAGTGACCGATCGTACAGCTCAAGAAATACCAGTCGGAATTTGAAGATGGCTCCAAGATCTAAAAGTCTTCCGGAAGACTTCCTTGATGGAAATGACGAGTCCTTAAACTTGGGTGTCTTCAACCAGGCCAGAGTAAACATAAATAATATGAACTTCACGGGAGGAGAAAGTAAACCACCACCACGTGGTACTGGGGAAGGCACAACAAACTTCGCTTTTGTCAGGGACAGTCCCCACTCAGATCAGAGCTCACAGCGCCGCGTGATGAAAGCACACTTTGATTCAGACGATGAAAACAGCGATTACGATAATGACGAAGCCAAAGGTGGTTTTCCAAAACATGCAGAAGATAAATACCCCAGGCTGACGATGGCCGAGAGGCGACATTTAATTTTGAGGAGACAGCAGAGTGCGTCCGTGGCTCCCGGCACGGACAACATGCGCGGCAAGCTCACCAGAGCGTGGTCGTCTCTAGACAACCGTGTGACGGAGTCGACGCCGCTGGCTAAATCATTCCCGAAAACGGCTCCAAAAAATGTGGGTGACGCCGCTACGTCGCAAGACCGCGGAGATTGCTCCCTGACAGAGCTGGACCAAGACATCTCGGCCAGCTGGTCGGACGTGAACGTTTCAGAAGATGGACGGACCGTTGCAGAGGAAGACACGCTGAGCTTGGAGTTCTTCGTGCCTGGAAAAAAGCAGTATATTCGGCTCCACAGGAGGACTTTCATTCGCTTCGTCCTCAAGTATTTGATCTTTTTCTTCACGTTTCTAGTCTGGGTAAGTTCTATATGTTGTCAACAAACCTAGGCTATTTTTCAAAGATATATTTACTGTATAAGACAGTATAGATGGTTTCCAAAGTGTGCACAGAGGAGATGAAATTTAAGAACAAGGTATGTTAAACTTGAATTAATAGACAGAACAATAAGATTTGGACATTTCGGCTTAGAGCCTTCTCTGCAGTCCATCATTTATTATAATTATTATGCACAGAGGGGGTCGACAAAAAATTAGATAATTTTTTTTTTTTTTTTTAAATTCGTGTTGAATTCAGTTAAGGTCTATATTAGGTAAATGTGCGGTGACCAACTGGCACATTCAGTCTATTTAATTCAATTTGTTGAAAATGTTTGATTACAATTTTATGAACTTGATTACGTGTTTTAGCTAAACCTTGATTTAAACATGATTTTTTTTGCAGTGTACTTGTTAGAATTTGACATGGGGCGCGTTGGCAAAACTTGGATTCAGCACGGCCTTCGAGAATAGAAAAAGTTTGGGAACCATTGACTTAGGACTTCAACCTGTTTTATATTGGGCTATATAAAATTCTACATAAATTAAGACATTTCCGTATTGTAGGGTCAGTCTGACGTTTCCCTCCAGCTTTTAAAAAGGCGTCTAGCGGTAGAGACAAGCTCAACATTATCGAAGACAAAGGACATTACGTGACTTTATTATTATAATAATTGTTGCCATGTTGTTGTTTTTTTGGTGTTTTTTCTTTTAAATGTGAGCCACGAGATCGACTGCTGCATTTATTGAAATTGAATCTTGGAACTGTTTCAAGTTCAACACATTTGGTGTAAATAAAAGTTTCTGGGATATAATATTTGTGGATATTTGTTTAGTTACACAGCTTTCCCCCACAATCCTCGGTCGTTGTACTCGTTAAAATTCTATCAATTCATTCGAGCTCCTCGTCGATGTTCGTTGTATCTCACAACTGGGTCCAGCAATAGTCTCGGTATTTTGACCATCATTATCCAATCTTCCTTTCTCCCACCAACTCGCGTAGACTGTGACCGTTGGACCTGTGAAGATTTCTGTAGGCATCTCTCTAAAAGTGCCCAGTGGCCGTGTCGTCGATCAACGTCAAAATGCATTGCGGGTGAATCCAGGCTTTCGTAAGATGACCGGTCTTACAACAGTCGTAGTTTTCACTTGTTTTTTTTGTTGTTGTTTTTTGCGAGGGTGGGCTCTTCTGTCTTGACCGCGTACATAAACTGTCTTTAAGCCCTGGTCTCCTGAACCCCGATCATTGTCAGGATTTCCTTTTCTCGTATGATTCGTAGAAGTATCAGTTAGCAGTTCGACGTCCTCCGAGGTCTACAAAGTGGTCAAGTGTGTCGTTCGCAGAGTGCCGCATACAAACCCCAGAGATATGTTTTGCTTGCAATCCAGTCTCTCCAATTCTAATTCTCTAGCGAAGATCTAGACTTCATACTTAACCCGTTATCCACACATATATAGATCAGAATAGTCCTGCATCTGTAAACCTTTTTAAACAGGCCGAATGTAGTTTTAAATACTCATACATTTTCTTTTACAAACTTAATAGTTTTTGTTTCTTTGTTTCTTAATGTTTTTCATAATCCTTTTAAATAACTAAAACTGATTTTTAAAAAATTAAATAAATTATTTAGTTTTTTTTTTTAAAAGATGGCCTTTCTAACTCATGCTGCCCTACGTCAGTGTCGTTTAAGCGCAAATGCACACTGCGCAATATTTAAAGGGGCCCCATGTGTCAACAGCCGTTTTGTTGATCAGAGATATCCTGTCTCACCAGTAAAGCAAAAAGCATGAGCCCACAGTACCGGTCATACGTTCCTACCATGTCACACTATACAGTCTTTCTATCAAACCCACATCCAGGTGGGCAGTGTTCCTACCATGTCACACCATACAGTCTTTCTATCAAACCCACATTCAGGTGGGCAGTGTTCCTACCGTGTCACACCATACAGTCTTTCTATCAAACCCACATCCAGGTGGGCAGTGTTCCTACCATGTCACACCATACAGTCTTTCTATCAAACCCACATTCAGGTGGGCAGTGTTCCTACCATGTCACACCATACAGTCTTTCTATCAAACCCACATCCAGGTGTGCAGTGTTCCTACCATGTCACACCATTACAGTCTTTCTATCAAACCCACATCCAGGTGGGCAGTGTTTCGGCGATTGGTTTCGGGACTTGGATGCTCATGAGCAACGGTGCTATAATAGATGACGTCACTGACGTCTTCCTGGACCCCTATGTTCTTCTCTGTGTGGTAGGGGGGATAATCTTCCTTGTGACCTTCTTCGGATGTGTAGGCGCCCTCCGTGAGAATATCTGCTTGCTGAAATTGGTAAATACATCGTAACTAATTAAATGTTTGTTTTCTAAAACTGATCAATCTACTAAAGATTTGCTAGTAAGCCTTGTAAGTAAACCATATATAAATGCGTGCAAAACTGATAGAAATGTAATTATTTTTTCCCGTAAAGACAAATATTTGTGCTGAGTTTTATGACAGTTTACTTTTTAAACCATACATCGGGGAGAATAGGAATTTAAAAAAAACAACAACACCCCTAAATGTCAAGTTCTCCCTTTTTTGTGTGTTTCTTTTGTATCGTTAATTTTAAGCCTCACGTCAAAAGGCTAGTTTGAACTAAATAATTTGCTAACACACTGAAATCAGACTCGTACATACCAGAAATACTTATTTCTCAATTAGATTTTATGGTTCATTCAAAATGGCACATTTCTATAAATAACCCTCAAAACAATTCCGCCCCCCCCCCTTTTTTTTCAACCAACTTTTGATGTTCTAGTTCCACATCTCGCTGACCACAGTGTTGGTTCTTGAAGGACTTCTGGGAACTCTTGTGTTTCTCTTCTACACGATGCCAGAGTTCCGGCAAGCTGTAAAAGTTGGACCGGAGGAGATCTTGAAGAAGGCTGTCAAGCAGTACTTTGATGACGACGGCATGAAGAACTGGATCGACACCGTGCAGAGAGAGGTTCGTGGTCCACGGGGAAACAAAACATTTAATTGCATTCAATGCATTAATGGATCAGATTAGGGGTGTGTTACGGGTGTGTTGAGGGCAGGGAGTCACGTGTTTGTGGCGATGTGTAACATACTGTAACAAGCACGTCTTCAGTTTGTGTGACGATTTAGGAACGATGGTTGGGCGAGGGGTGTCCAAAAAATGTGCACAGCTATCGTATTGTCGTTTATGGATAGCCTCATTGGATGAACTGCTCTTTAGTTGAACTGCTCATAAGATGAACTGCTCATTAGTTGAACTGCTCATAAGTTGAACTGATCTCCATTTCAACTGCTTATTAGTTGAACCGCTCCGCGTAGTTGAACTGCTTATTAGTTGAACTGCTCATTAGTTGAATTGCTTTCTGTTTGAGCTGCTTAGTAGTTGAACCACTCTCTAGTTGAACTGCTCATTAGTCGAACTGATCTCTAGTTGAACTGCTCAGTAGTTGAACTGCTCTCTAGTTGAACTGCTCATTAGTCGAACTGATCTCTAGTTGAACTGCTCATTAGTCGAACTGCTCTCTAGTTTTACTGCACCCTAGTTGAACTGCTCATGTGTCAACTAAAACTATAAGTTCAATACAAGTGACACAAACGGAGCATCTTGTTCCAAGCACAATGACGGTGTGTGACGTCATGGGAAAGGTCGCTGCTTATTGCAAGGAAAAGAAACAACAGATCCGACTCAATGCCTTTGAATCTTTGATAGCTACAGTACAATGTGGCTAAACAATGTGGCTAAACAATGTGGCTAAACAATGTGGCTAAACAATGTGGCTAAACAATGTGGCTAAATAATGTGGCTAAACAATCTGGCTAAACAATGTGGCTAAACAATGTGGCTAAACAATGTGGCTAAACAATGTGGCTAAACAATGTGGCTAAACAATGTGGCTAAACAATGTGGCTAAACAATGTGGCTAAACAATGTGGCTAAACAATGTGGCTAAACAATGTGGCTAAACAATGTGGCTAAACAATGTGGCTAAACAATGTGGCTAAACAATGTGGCTAAACAATGTGGCTAAACAATGTGGCTAAACAATGTGGCTAAACAGTGTGGCTAAACAGTGTGGCTAAACAATCTGGCTAAACAGTGTGGCTAAACAGTGTGGCTAAACAATCTGGCTAAACAATCTGGCTAAACAATGTGGCTAAACAAAGTGGCTAAACAATACGGCTAAACAATGTGGCTAAACAATGTGGCTAAACAATGTGGCTAAACAATGTGGCTAAACAATACGGCTAAACAATACGGCTCAACAGTGTGGCTAAACAATATGGCCGAACAATGTGGCTAAACAATGTGGCTAAACAATGTGGCTAAACAATGTGGCTAAATAATGTGGCTAAACAATCTGGCTAAACAATGAGGCTAAACAATGTGGCTAAACAATGTGGCTGAACAATGTGGCTGAGCAATGTGGCTAAACAATGTGGCCAGATAATTTGGCTAAACCATGTGGCCAAACAATGTGGCAAAATTTTCATCGTCTTAAAACATTTGAGCCACTCCGTAAAATAAGAAATAATATATTTATATTTAATTGTCACAGTTATGCAGCATCCCTTAGCAAGGGCGTATCACTTATGCAGGGGGGTCATCACTTAGTCCGGCGTATCACTAAGTCAGGGCGTGTCACTAAGTCAGGGCGTGTCACTAAGTCAGGGCGTGTCACTAAGTCAGGGCGAATCCCTTAGTCAAGGATATCACTTAGTCAGGGCGTGTCACTAAGTCAGGGCGTATCACTTAGTCAGGGCGTATCGTTTTGTCATGGCGTATCACTTTGTTAGGGTGTATTACTTAATCAGGGCATATCACTTAGTCAGGGCGTATCCCTTAGTCAGGGCGTATCACTTAGTCAGGGCGTACCACTTAGTCAGGGCGTACCACTTAGTCAGGGCGTATCACTTAGTCAGGGCGTACCACTTAGTCAGGGCGTACCACTTAGTCAGGGCGTATCACTTAATCAGATCGTATCACTTAGTCAGATCGCATCACTTAGTCAGGGCGTATCACTCAGTCAGGGCGTATCACTTAGTCAGGGCGTATCACTTAGTCAGGGCGTATCACTTAGTCAGGGCGTATCACTTAGTCAGGGCGTTAAAACTGTAAACATTTTTCCATAACGTATTCCAGTCTCTCTCGTCACTTTCAGTTCCAGTGTTGCGGAGTAAGCATGAGTAACAAAGGTTACTTGGACTGGCAGGACAACATCTACTTCAACTGTTCAGATTCGAACCCCAGCGTCCACAGGTGCTCGGTGCCTATCTCGTGTTGCATATTTGAACCGGTAGGACCAACGGTTTCTGTGTGGACTGTACACTTTACATTTTTGTTGTCCTTACAAACATTTTAAAATGTGGCATAGAAAGCCATCCGTTTTTTAAAGGCTTACCTGTTCATTCAAATCAGTAAGAGATTTTTAATTGATGTTTAAACAGTAATCTATTCAAGCACGGTTCCATCGTTCTCGTGCGCACAACCATGTTGTTTTGTTTTTTTTTAAATTGTCAACGGTTTTAATAGTCATTAAGGTGAGCTCACAGTTCATGAAGATGGCAGTCACCGTCTCAAAAGAGTTTAACCAAATCTTTGTTTTGACCACAGGGTGACCATATCAACTTCTGGTGTGGCGTGGGCATAATGAAAGAGACGGTAAGAGAGCATGAAAATAAAAGAGACGGTAAAAGAGGGTGGAAGTTGTTGTCATTGTGTCAAGCAGTATAAAATTCGGTGGGATGAAGACGTGGGTCATTTAAAAATTGTGATCAGATCAATGAAATGATCTTCTGCGGAACAAAAAAAAACGGACTAAGTAACACCTGCTTTAAAATCATTTACAATAAATCGTTTTAACTGCACAAGAAATTGTATTAAAACTCTAAATTCAGATATTTTTTTTACTAAGTCTCCCCTTCTACTATCAACTGATTAGTGTGTACTACAGTGGTCAGAGCTTTGATGGCTCAATTTATCGGATTTGTTTTTTAAGCAGTGTACACTAATGCGCCCAGTGTTGTAGGATTGTGTTCCGATGTTTGCCTACATCTCTCACAGGAGTCTCACATTCTGCACATCATCAACACGAAGGGATGCATGAAGAGTTTCGGTGAATGGCTTGGCAAGAATGACGCCATGGTTGGGTACGTCGCAATGGGAGTCATCGTGCCACAGGTGGGAGTCACTGACGTCTCGTAGCGATGTTTTTAGCAAGTCAAGAAAGATTTTTGGGCGGGAGGGGGGGGGGAGAAGGAAGAAAAAATATGTGAGAGGGAATGGGGCAGACCGAGAGAAAAAAATAAAGAAAAAACGGTGAGAGATATAATCAGAGTGAGATAATGAAGGAGAAAAAATTGACACAGAGAATGTGGGCAGAGAGAGAATCGTGCATAAGAGAATGGGGCAGAGAGCGAGAGAGGGGGGAGAATAGTCAAAGAGTTAGAGATTGAGAAAGAGATAGAAAGAATGGGACAGAGAGAGAATGGGACAGAGAGAGATAATTGGACAGGGAAAGAATGTGACAGAGAGAGTGTGCAAAGGGGACAAAGAGAGAGAGAGAGAGAGAGAATGGGGCAGAGAAAGAATGGGACAGAGAGAGATAATGGGATAGCGAAAGGGAGAGAAATTGACAGACAGGGAGAATGGGGTAGAGATAGAGAGAGAGAATAGAGTAGAGAAATGATGGGACAGGTTAGAGAGAGAGAGAGAGTGAGAGGAGTGGGAGAGAGAGAGTAATAGAATGGGGCTGAGAAAGAGCGAAATAATGGAACAGAGAGAGAGAGAGAGAGAAATAATGTCAACATTTTAATGCCATTATAATTCATTTTCAAAGTAAATGATAGGAGTCACAATGAACAATACATTGATCGTGGGCGCTTAATATGTAGAAGAAGACGAAGGAGAAGGTGGCTTTGGGAGGTCGTACATTAGGATTTGTGTTGAATATATTCAATGAAGACGTATTAAGAGGGTGTATTTGGAAGGGGGGGGGGGCAATCGGAATCTATGAGCCTCATTTGTGGGCAGCTACGATGTATTACACGTATTATATATCATATTTGACAAAGATTCCCATTTAATGCAGCCTTGGAGATAATATATACATGTGTTTAGTTAGTTAATGCCCCACTGATGTCGGGACTTGACACAAACCAAAAGAATGCGTGACGTCATGTTTAGATGATCTTAAAAAGGGGGCAGATTAAAGCCAATGGAACGTTTTCATTGAGGTGAAGAGGATAGAAAGGTGGTATTCTAAACGTGTTACTATATATTGCATGCTATAAATTTGTACAATTTTAAGAAACACAACCAGGCCTAGCCATCACTGTGCACTCGTGCCTAGCCATCACTGTGCACTCGTGCCTAGCCATCACTGTGCACTCGTGCCTAGCCATCACTGTGCACTCGTGCCTAGCCATCACTGTGCACTCGTGCCTAGCCATCACTGTGCACTCGTGCCTAGCAGGGCGTATCCCTTAGTCACGGCGTATCACTTAGTTAGGGCGTACCACTTAGTCAGGGCGTACCACTTAGTCAGGGCGTATCACTTAGTCAGGGCGTACCACTTAGTCAGGGCGTACCACTTAGTCAGGGCGTATCACTTAATCAGATCGTATCACTTAGTCAGATCGCATCACTTAGTCAGGGCGTATCACTCAGTCAGGGCGTATCACTTAGTCAGGGCGTATCACTTAGTCAGGGCGTATCACTTAGTCAGGGCGTATCACTTAGTCAGGGCGTTAAAACTGTAAACATTTTTCCATAACGTATTCCAGTCTCTCTCGTCACTTTCAGTTCCAGTGTTGCGGAGTAAGCATGAGTAACAAAGGTTACTTGGACTGGCAGGACAACATCTACTTCAACTGTTCAGATTCGAACCCCAGCGTCCACAGGTGCTCGGTGCCTATCTCGTGTTGCATATTTGAACCGGTAGGACCAACGGTTTCTGTGTGGACTGTACACTTTACATTTTTGTTGTCCTTACAAACATTTTAAAATGTGGCATAGAAAGCCATCCGTTTTTTAAAGGCTTACCTGTTCATTCAAATCAGTAAGAGATTTTTAATTGATGTTTAAACAGTAATCTATTCAAGCACGGTTCCATCGTTCTCGTGCGCACAACCATGTTGTTTTGTTTTTTTTTAAATTGTCAACGGTTTTAATAGTCATTAAGGTGAGCTCACAGTTCATGAAGATGGCAGTCACCGTCTCAAAAGAGTTTAACCAAATCTTTGTTTTGACCACAGGGTGACCATATCAACTTCTGGTGTGGCGTGGGCATAATGAAAGAGACGGTAAGAGAGCATGAAAATAAAAGAGACGGTAAAAGAGGGTGGAAGTTGTTGTCATTGTGTCAAGCAGTATAAAATTCGGTGGGATGAAGACGTGGGTCATTTAAAAATTGTGATCAGATCAATGAAATGATCTTCTGCGGAACAAAAAAAAACGGACTAAGTAACACCTGCTTTAAAATCATTTACAATAAATCGTTTTAACTGCACAAGAAATTGTATTAAAACTCTAAATTCAGATATTTTTTTTACTAAGTCTCCCCTTCTACTATCAACTGATTAGTGTGTACTACAGTGGTCAGAGCTTTGATGGCTCAATTTATCGGATTTGTTTTTTAAGCAGTGTACACTAATGCGCCCAGTGTTGTAGGATTGTGTTCCGATGTTTGCCTACATCTCTCACAGGAGTCTCACATTCTGCACATCATCAACACGAAGGGATGCATGAAGAGTTTCGGTGAATGGCTTGGCAAGAATGACGCCATGGTTGGGTACGTCGCAATGGGAGTCATCGTGCCACAGGTGGGAGTCACTGACGTCTCGTAGCGATGTTTTTAGCAAGTCAAGAAAGATTTTTGGGCGGGAGGGGGGGGGGAGAAGGAAGAAAAAATATGTGGGAGGGAATGGGGCAGACCGAGGGAAAAAAATAAAGAAAAAACGGTGAGAGATATAATCAGAGTGAGATAATGAAGGAGAAAAAATTGACACAGAGAATGTGGGCAGAGAGAGAATCGTGCATAAGAGAATGGGGCAGAGAGCGAGAGAGGGGGGAGAATAGTCAAAGAGTTAGAGATTGAGAAAGAGATAGAAAGAATGGGACAGAGAGAGAATGGGACAGAGAGAGATAATTGGACAGGGAAAGAATGTGACAGAGAGAGTGTGCAAAGGGGACAAAGAGAGAGAGAGAGAGAGAGAATGGGGCAGAGAAAGAATGGGACAGAGAGAGATAATGGGATAGCGAAAGGGAGAGAAATTGACAGACAGGGAGAATGGGGTAGAGATAGAGAGAGAGAATAGAGTAGAGAAATGATGGGACAGGTTAGAGAGAGAGAGAGAGTGAGAGGAGTGGGAGAGAGAGAGTAATAGAATGGGGCTGAGAAAGAGCGAAATAATGGAACAGAGAGAGAGAGAGAGAGAAATAATGTCAACATTTTAATGCCATTATAATTCATTTTCAAAGTAAATGATAGGAGTCACAATGAACAATACATTGATCGTGGGCGCTTAATATGTAGAAGAAGACGAAGGAGAAGGTGGCTTTGGGAGGTCGTACATTAGGATTTGTGTTGAATATATTCAATGAAGACGTATTAAGAGGGTGTATTTGGAAGGGGGGGGGGGGCAATCGGAATCTATGAGCCTCATTTGTGGGCAGCTACGATGTATTACACGTATTATATATCATATTTGACAAAGATTCCCATTTAATGCAGCCTTGGAGATAATATATACATGTGTTTAGTTAGTTAATGCCCCACTGATGTCGGGACTTGACACAAACCAAAAGAATGCGTGACGTCATGTTTAGATGATCTTAAAAAGGGGGCAGATTAAAGCCAATGGAACGTTTTCATTGAGGTGAAGAGGATAGAAAGGTGGTATTCTAAACGTGTTACTATATATTGCATGCTATAAATTTGTACAATTTTAAGAAACACAACCAGGCCTAGCCATCACTGTGCACTCGTGCCTAGCCATCACTGTGCACTCGTGCCTAGCCATCACTGTGCACTCGTGCCTAGCCATCACTGTGCACTCGTGCCTAGCCATCACTGTGCACTCGTGCCTAGCCATCACTGTGCACTCGTGCCTAGCCATCACTGTGCACTCGTGCCTAGCCATCACTGTGCACTCGTGCCTAGCCATCACTGTGCACTCGTGCCTAGCCATCACTGTGCACTCGTGCCTAGCCATCACTGTGCACTCGTGCCTAGCCATCACTGTGCACTCGTGCCTAGCCATCACTGTGCACTCGTGCCTAGCCATCACTGTGCACTCGTGCCTAGCCATCACTGTGCACTCGTGCCTAGCCATCACTGTGCACTCGTGCCTAGCCATCACTGTGCACTCGTGCCTAGCCATCACTGTGCACTCGTGCCTAGCCATCACTGTGCACTCGTGCCTAGCCATCACTGTGCACTCGTGCCTAGCCATCACTGTGCACTCGTGCCTAGCCATCACTGTGCACTCGTGCCTAGCCATCACTGTGCACTCGTGCCTAGCCATCACTGTGCACTCGTGCCTAGCCATCACTGTGCACTCGTGCCTAGCCATCACTGTGCACTCGTGCCTAGCCATCACTGTGCACTCGTGCCTAGCCATCACTGTGCACTCGTGCCTAGCCATCACTGTGCACTCGTGCCT